GACACGTTCCTAGTGTATTTTTATTCCAGTCAAAAGTTTTATATATAAGGGTGAGAGCAGTGGCTCATGTCTATAATCCCAGCACTTTGGTAGGTTGAGGTGGGGAGACAGCTTGAGCCCAGGAGCTCTAGACTAGCCCAGGCAACATAGTAAGACTTTGTCTCTACAAAAAATAAAACTGGTCATTGTGGCAAGCGCCTGAAGTCCCAACTACTTGGGAGGCTGAGGCGGTAAAATTACCTGAGCCCAGGAGGTTGAGACTGCAGTGAACCCATGATTGACCCTGGGAGACAGAGTGAGACCTTGACTCAAAAAAAAAAGGTTTTATATATCAGATATAATGGTGTGTTACATAATCATAGATTCCATAATTGCAACATCATAAAAATTGCATATATACATGTATATACACATCCACATATATGGATAAAGATGACAAGAAAAACATAGAATAAATATATTTATTTTTAGTGATGGAATTATGGGTAGTATTTTTAAATTAAAATGTGCTTTTTGGACATTTCAAAGTGATTTATTAAATTAAAAAAGGAAATAACAACAAATTAGTGCATTCTAATGCTGCAGTTTTAGCTAGAATATTCACAAAATGGAGCACCCTAGAAAATGGAAGGAGACATTCTTAGTCATTTAAAATACTCCTAATTTTTAAAATTGTTTATTGTTTTTTAGTGATATATGACATTTGTACACATTTATGGGGTACATGTGATATTTTGTTACATGCATACAATGTGTAATGATCAAGTCAGGTATTTAGGATGTCTGTCACCTCCAACATTTATCATGTGTATGTGTTGGGAACATTTTAAGTCCTTTCTTGAAGCTGTTTTGAAATATACAATGCATCGTTGTTAACTATAGTCACCCTATCCTGCTACTGAACATTAGAACTTATTCTTTCTGTTTGTAACTATTCACTAACCTCTCTCAGTGCCTCTCTCCCACACTTTCCAGTCTCTCCATAACATTAACATCAACTTTTTTAGCTTCCACATACATGAGAACAAAAAACATACTAATTCATCTCTGCCAGGATAATACAAGAAATGTATGCTCTAGTTTGCCTCTGGAGAAGGACACAGGGTAGTTAAGGACTATAAGTGTGAGAGACGTTTTCTACTGTATACCATGTCGGTGCCTTTTGAATTACAAATCCATGTAAGTGCATTACCAACAAAAAACAAAGATAGAAAAGAAAATTTATACTCATCTTTCTTGCCTTACTAGGTAAAGCAGGATTAACATGATTCTTGAGTTTTTATCTTCTTGCCTTTTAAGAATTCTCTACATCTGTTTTATATGGGTCATTTGTAAAACAAATGTTATTAAGTAAATAACTTTCTATGTTATCTTTTAATGCAATTTAACACCATATATATGTCACTTAGGTGACAACTTCATTTGGGCATTGTGGAACATTCAAAAAAGTATAAAAAGTGGAGAATCTACTTTTTGGGGGGATGATAGAACGCAAGAAGAGGTATAGATGACAAGGGAAGCTCAAAGTTGTGCATATGAAATTATTACTACAATGCCTAGCACACACTAAAAGAAACAATTCAAATAGACAAAGATCAGCATGGGCTAGAGTACATACAAATTTTATGCAATGTTTGCATTGGTTAGTTCATGCCAAGCTGCAGTAGCAAATTTATCCTAATAAATTCAATGATTAAAGAACAATATATTTGTTTATACAGTATATTTGTTTATACTCATACAGTAGCTGGGGTGGACTTTAGGTTAGTTGAGTGATCTCCTCCATGATAAAAAAACCATTCAGACTGGTGGTTGCTCTGACTTTTTCCATGTGTCCCTGAGGGCATCTATCCCAGTCAGCCGAAGGTAAAAGAGCACAGAGAGGCACGGGTGCACTACTGCATGGGTCCACTCCTGGAAGTGCACACGCCCCTTTACAATCCATTAACTGCAGCTCAGCAATGAAACCATACCTTACTATGCCAGATGCAGGGATGCGCAATCTAGTCAGCCAGTCTCATGCTTGCCCCTTCCCCTGCAGTGGAAAAGTAGAAGGCATTTTGGTGGACAGCTGGGACCTGTATCACAGATATGGGATATCAATGATTTGGAGGAATAAAGAAGAGCAGGGATGGCTTTACCCAAGCAAGAGGAACAATGGGTATATCTAGGCAGTTAAACATCACCAGGCCTCAACTTATTTAGCTGATAAACAACACTTACTGTAGATGTTTTCTAAAATTGTTTTTAGCCTTTAGGTTTCTGTGGTTCTGGGCGTTAACATTCAATGGGTATTGTGTTTAACTGAAGCAAAGTGCACCTGTTGGAAAAGGTGCAAGGTAACTCTTATGTTATATGGGTAGAGTGGGTCTTGAACAATCACTGTGTTCCACTGTAGATTTTTAAAAAAATCAAGCCACAGATATTGATCAATTGCCAACTAGTCATGTCTAATTTTGTGTCAACTTGACTAGGTTAAAGGATGCCTAGATAGCTATTGAAGTATTATTCTGGGTGTGTCTGTGAGAGTGTTTCTGGAAGAGATTAGTGTTGAAATAAATAGATTGAGTTAAAAAAAAATGCACCCTCTCTAATATGGGCAGGCACCATCCAATTCATTGAGGGTCTGGATAGACCACAAAGGCAAAGGATCAGCAAATTTGCTCTCTTGCTCTTTTTGAGCTTGGGCACTCATGCTCTCCTACCCTTGGACATCAGAGCTCCTAGTCTCAGGCCATTGGTTCTCCACCTTGCAGAAGGCTTATCATGGGACTTCTTGGCCTCCATAATTATGTGAGTCAATTCTCTCCATATGTGAAGATAATAAATCTCCTCATATACTTGTATTAGTTCTGATTCTCTGGAGAACCCTTACACACTATTACACACCAGATACATTGCCAGGTTCTGTGGAGGACATAAAGAAGATAACTCATTTTTTCAGATGATAGATTAGGTACTACAGATGTTCCTTGTCTTCAATGTGGTTACATTCCCATAAGCCCTAAATAAATTAAAAATATCCCACATCAAAAATTCATTTAATACACCTAATAGCCTAATCATCAAAGCTTAACCTAGTCTATCTTAAACGTGCTCAGAACACATTTTAGCCTATAGTTGGGCAAAATCATTGAACAAAAAGCCTATTCTATGATAAAATGTTGAATATCTCATGTAATTTATTGAACACTGTACTAAGAGTGAAAAACAGAATGGTTATATGGTTGCTCAAAGTAAGATTTCCACTGTTGATTTTACATCATCATTAAGTAAAAAAATCACATGTCAAACCATCTTGAGTTGGGGACTGTCTGTATTTTTAAGAAAGTTGAGTTGAATGAAGGGAAGGTTAAAAATGAGGCACAATGGGACATGTTCCCAGAGTTCCAGGCCTCACAATCTGGGATAGGAGGTGGCTGGGATGAATATGAAATGGTCTTAAATATCTTCTACAAGATTTTTCTAAAGAAAAAATTTATCTTTAATAATCTCTAATAGGAACTCGTTTTCCTGTGATTTGACTCTTGTAATTGGTGATATTAAACTGCCATTCATTGAAAGTTCTGATTAATCAACTCTTTAACTATAATTTTACTGCAGGTAAAAATGCATGACTCCATCCTCTATATTTTATAGGCCAGTTAATTAATTTAGGACTCTTTATGAGGCAAAATCAGACTTTTAGGCTATAAAAGTATTCCACGCAATTTATCAATTTCCGTGAAAATATATTCTCAGGTGCTATAATCACTTGAAAACTCTGCCAAATCTGGTATTCTACTGATGTTAATTCTCAGCTAGTCATATCTTTATTGAATTCCAAGATTTTTACCTTGTAGTATCATGATTTTATCCTGACTTACTTTTCTATAGCTTGGTTTTTAGAAAATTTGTGTCCTTAGCGAAATTACTATCCTGAATATTTTGGAGGAGAAGTATTCCTACCATTTTCATGTTTAGTTTTGTCTTCTGGGTCCTGTCTTGTTGTAAACTCATTGCCATTAATTCTGTTGTCTTGAATACCTGCTTCAATTTACCTTTCTTATGTAACACAATAACACAAGACCTGGGACTAGGAGTCAGAAGAAATGCATTTCAGTTGGGTTTGTCACTTACTAGTGGGCACATCATTTACCCTCATGGGAACTTGATTTACTCATCTGTCAAATTAGGGAATTGAGAAGATAGTGTAGACTGCATTCTCTTTGAAATATTACTTTTCTATATATTAATATTGAGATGATCACTTTTCTTTATTTGGCTACAAATCTGCTATTTAATTTTAAATTTTAAAAAATTCTGTTCTTTAACTTTTAAACAATTTGTGACTGGGTACAAAATTAGCTTATAGGAATGTCCTTTTCCTAAACTGACGTACTAAAAGGCAAAAAATGGTTCTGTAGAAATGTGTAGTATTTGCATGCTTAAATGGGGTCTGATTTACACTGTGCCAAGTATCATTACTGACAATTATGTAGGCTTTGAAATAAAATTGTGACTTCAAAATACATGTGGCATATGTTCTACTCCAATTTAAAAATATGCCTATGGGAAACTTAAAAAAAATTTACAAACCCTGCTAAAATCTAAGAATTGTATAAATTGATTTACAGTTTTTTCTCTAAATAGAAATAATGTTCATATCTCTCAACTTTTGAACATCAGATAGTTTTAAAACTCATTTCACGTCATAAGAATAATAACAATCATAAAGGCTGCTCACATTTATAGAGTTCTTACTAGATGCTACCCTATATACCAAATGCTGTATGTGAATTTTTCTTCTACTCTACTTTATAATCTCTACAGCCAACCCGTCCCATTAATATGTACCTAAGGAAAACCTTAATGTCCAATTTGTATCACACACACACACACACACACACAGAGAGAGAGAGAGAGAGAGAGAGAGAGAGAGAGAGAGAGAGAGAGAAAGAATAAATCCTTGTGAGGAAAAGGAACAAGAACATCTTTAAAAATACCACCCTGAGGTCATGTGACAGATCTAGCAAATTCTTTTTATTTACATAGAAATGTGTACACATATTTTCTCTGTACACAGAAAATTCTAAATATATATACACATATGGTTCCCATATATCTTATAATAAATAATATTTTACTCTTGTTTATAGATGAAAATAAAAAGATGTCTCAAAATATTACTCACTGACCACAAAATTACAAAAGCACCTGATGAACTCAGAGCAAAAACTTCAAGCCTGTACTACCACACATTAAACCTAGTACAATTTTTACAAAAGACAAAAACTGAACACTGCAGATATTACCAGTAAAAGAAAAGGAATGGAGATGTAAAATAGAGAACAGAGCTCTTGATTTTTTGGTCAGTGTGGTAAGAACATTTTTGTGGGTTAGGACTTAGCTTCCTTTAGCCTTCAATTTAATGTTTTACTTTAATTGATATTTTACAGATAAGAAGGGAGAAAGAAGTTCATCTCTGTTGTAAAACGAGTGACTATTTCACAAGGGTCCTGAGTTCTAGAAACCTTTTTACTGGCCGACCAGACACTCCTTCTGTTCAATGATCATCCAGTGATACCATACAGGACTGCCGGTCACACCCTCAGAGAAGATGAGAAGGGTACCGATTGTGAAGTGACATTAATTTGGAAGTAATTTCAAAAGCCAGGTGAGCCAGGTATCTTAGTTGTCAACACTTAATAATTAAAAATAGAAATGCTTAAATATAACTCGTTATTTCCACAGAGTTTGATCCTTCATTCAAATAATTAACTAAACACAAAGAGAACTTAATCTGGGAGGCTAGAAATAATAAATCTATATCCCGAAATTTCCTTCCTCCACTCCTAGTTTTTTTCCATACTAGCCTAGGAAACAATCACTTTCTCCCAACTTCAGAGTTGGTCTACATTTGTCTGTAAAATCACACTATCGAGTGAAGAGAATGAAGTTCCAAGCTGTAGGGTGAATACAAATTTTATGTCACTTTTGATAATCTCACAGCATTAAATTTGGCGGAAGAGTCTACACATATCATGATCTTCATTATTATTAAGTTGTCTCATACCCAGATTTGCTTTCCTGATACACCAGTGTTATGACACAGGGGAAAATCATAAGGATGGTGACCAACACAGGGCTAACTGCTTAAATCACATTCCACCCAACTCTAGCTCAGATGATAATGAACTTGGTTCCACTGTGACACTGTAACTTCACACACGAGTTCTGAAACAAATTTTACCCTTTCATCTCTCATATCAATAACAGCACAGATGTCGGGAAAGAGCAATAAAAAAAAAAGTCCAATGTCAGAAACACAATTCACCTATCCAATATAATCTTTTCAGTTCTTTTACTGAATCTGCTACTAAGGTAACCTTCCAAAACATATTTCAAAGGCAGGCTCATTTCAAGAGCAATGTTTATCACATGCATAATTCGGTTTCTTCTTGTCACGCATAGCTACCATTGATACTTCTTTTAGAGAAACAATAATATTTCTAGAACTTAGCCATCTTACATGAAAGTGATGGTTTCATAAACAGTTTGACTCTTTAGATAAAGGTATTTATGATTGAAACACACACATTTCACATTTGAAGATGTTTCTTTTTCTTTTTTTTTAATTTGAAAACCTGATGGGGAACTAAAGTTCACTGCCAGAAACGAAAGGGATCATTTATCATGAAGAGCTGGGCTTGTTTCTTGGTCATCCTAATTAAATATATATATCTATACATCTATATGTCCCTCGTTTCCATCACTGTGGAAAGATTAGCCAGACGATAAGTATGGGGTCTCACTATGGTAATTGTAGTCTGGACAGACTTTTTGCACGAGTTTATAATCAACACTGTAAAAGGCAATGTAAATGCAAATGACCTTGAAGGGTTTGGAGCACAACCAAGACACATGGCTCTGAGTCTGCTCCTGGTAGCAGATCTTGGATGGGTCAAAGTTGCACAGGGCGGTCTTCTTCGCCCGATCTGTTTTTTCATACTCAATGCGACAATTGAAAGATTTGGATTCCTTGGTCTCCAGTGTAGATTGGGGGGAAACTTCAAATTCCACCACCTTTGAAGGGGGTACCAAGCTCACTGAAACATTGCCCAGGCCTGTTGAATTATGTCGGAAATAAACACTGAAGGTTCCATTTCCATGGTCGACAATTTTCCCTGTGATGAGAAGGTTGAGCTTGACAGTTTTAATGTTGGAATGAAAGTCACCCCATCCAAACATTTTCTTAAATTTTCCTGTTTTGACTATTGGCCTCCGTTTAGTTCTCGCCAATGGCTCCTGAATCTCCGTGATGTTGGCCAGCCAATCCCAAAAGTTTTCCATGCTGTCTGCATATGCCATGGGACCAGGCTTGGGCACAGGAGACTGTTTAACAAACAGGCGCAGAGGACTAATGATCCTTGAGTGCACCACATTGCCGACCAGTGTCCCCGGAGCATCTTTGTCTTCCCAATCCAGCCCCTCTGTGGCATGCACCACTTCTTTACTCTCACAAAAAAGCTGTTTGGAAAGAAGAAAGAGAAATAAACTTTAGGTTGGGTCTTGAGCACGCGCGCAGACTGAAGTCAAAGCACAAGATAAATTCTTTTGATATTATTTAGATTCTTGCTAAATAAAGCATTTCACACAGAGAGACACAGAGCTAGGCTTAACAGTGTAACAAGATGAGCAATTAATTCAAGCAATGTAAAACTGTGAGTACAAAAATTTAAATGGTGAGATTAAGAACAAAGTATTTCATTTTAATGGGTTGATATGGTTTTAGTCTCTGCTTTCTAATCTTCACAATTCTATTTTTCCAGATTGGGGGAAGTAGTATATTTTGGCCTCTCATTTGATATAATCATTTAATTTATAAAGCCTTTGAGGTAGAAGATAACTCTAGTCTGCTGAAGGTTTTAAACAATGAGCTGGAAACCATTTGACTATGATATTGATAAGTCTCTTAAATATATCTGAAAATATTAAGGATATTATTGTCTTCAAATTGTCTTCAACATACAATTTCATAGCTTTTGATATAATCCCATCTTAAACTCTGTAACAAAAAAGCATGTGATTAGTATTAGAAAGTTCTACAAAAAGTTTCAGCTGAAAAAAATGTAAGTACAAATTTAGTTGCCTTTATAAAAGTAAAAATGAATATGGAGAAGTATATTTTGAATTAATTAGTAGGATGTATATGAGTTTATAAATTTTATTACAATGTTAAGAAAGTGTTATGTGCATGTGTTTTATGGGTCCCACGGTATTTTGGTTCAAATCACAGTCACTGAAACATAAGTATTTGCATTTGATTTTCCTTTTTATTCTTTTTAAAGTACAAGTCCCCATGATTTCTAAAAATCATTTAGTTAAGTAGATATGGATTTTGAGGGACAGAATCATTACTGTTGCACGGAGTGAATATTTATGGATGAGTTATAAGGTCTGGAAAATAGAGGTTTCTAGTGGAAACACAGATAGCCTCTTATCTCTAATGGCACAAACCACTCTTGTAATGATTCTACGGAAAACTGTCAGCATGATGAAAAGGATGAGGAACGAAGTGAGCTATGTTTATGTACTGTTTTTCTAGCCCTTTCAGACTTGGCAAAGCACTTGGCAAAAATGCTCTCAGATTATTTCCCAAATTATTGCTTTCAATCCAATTTTTTTAAAAAAGACATACCCAAATTATAAATATTTCTCTTGACTAGATGGTATTATAGCTTGATGAGGTTATCGTTTGTATGTTCATAAGAATTTAGGTCCTAACAGGACTCGGTGAAAAGTGTTTTCACTTATACCTGGTCCCAAGATCACTTTAGAGAAAGAATCCAAGGACTCAAAATATCCGTGTAGAGTTTTTTTGGTTTGGGTTTTTGTTTGTTTGTTTTGCTTTGTTGGGAGTGGTGGGGAATACTATATTTCTCCCTTTGATTAGGGCTTTTCTTCCTCATTTCTGGAGTTAAAAAGAATTATTTTCTTTTCACTTAAATTACTGAGGTGAATAGAAGGGCAAATTTATATGATGCATGATGTACATGCTTACTTTTTTGAGAACCTGAATCCATATGGCCTCTTCTTAGGGGCTTATGGATCTTGAATTGATACTTCTTTCTGTCTCCTGGTGTTAAAGGCTGACATATTCACCCAGGAAAGAGGGATCATTACTCTGGACATCTGGCTCAAAGTATTTCTGATACTGTACCTACAGTTTTCTAATTTTGAACACCTTTCCTCTCTTTTATTGAAACATAATATTTCACATATTTATGGAGTACATGTGCATATTTGTTACAGGTATAAAATAAGTAATTATCAAGTCAGGGTATTTGAGGTATCCATCACCTTCAGGATTTTTCACTTCTTTTTTTTTGAGTTGGAGTCTCTGTCGCCCAGACTGGAGTGCAGTGGCCGCTCCCGGCCACCGCAGCCTCAACCAGCTGGGCTCTGGCGATCCTTCCGCCTCAGCCTTCCGAGTAGCCGGAATTACAGGCATGCGCTATCATGCTCGGCTGATTTTTTGATTTATTGTAGAGATGAGGTCTCGCTGCCCAGACAGGTCTCGAACCTGCGGGCTCAGGCAATCCACTCACCTCAGCCTCCCAAAGGCACAGGATTACAGGCTGAGTCACCGAGCCCAGCTGGATTTTTCACTTCTATGTGTTGGGAACATCTCAAGTTCTCTCTTCCAGCTATTTTGAAATATATAATACACTGCTGCTAGCTATATTGTTAACTAGTCTGCCATTGAACATTAAAACTTATTCCTTCTATCTAATTGCATGTTTGTATCCATTCACCAACCTTTCTCTATTTCCCCTTCCAACCCTCACACACTCCCCAGCCTCTGGTATCTATCATTCCATTCTCTATTTCATTGAGATGAAGTTTTTTAGCTTCCACATATGAGTGAGAACATGTGGTATGTCTTTCTGTGCCTGGATTATTTCACTAAACAAAATGACCTCCGGTTCCATGAATAGTCTTAATCATGATGTGCACAAATCTCATTCCAATCAGCTGGTGATAGTCCATGGAATTGGATACCCTAACACCACTTCTGACTTGACACTCCTGGGAATGGAGCCAGCCTGGTCCAAGTGATATGTCCCAGCCTCTCTCCAGATAGAGGGCCAAGGACACCTGGGCAGATAAGAAACTCTAATCGTGGCCCATTTTCTCTTTTCTGTGATCATGATTCTTATTGCCCAGAGTCTATTACCTGCTTTTCACCTGTTTCTAATATTTCATGAGATTTACCTTACTTGGTAAATGCTGACAGACACACCTAGTATTTGCTGAGCATCTGGTATACTTCCTGATTCCTGAGTTGGTACAAAGTCTGAACTTCTTCCCTCACTACCACCTTCCTTCCTCTCTTTCATGGGATCTATCTATTCCTTCTGACATTTGCTTTTTTTAAACTTGCTTTTTTGTTTTTAAGGCCTCAGTTCTTACTTTTATATATCATACTACCAATGAATACTTTACTGGCAGAACTAAAATGCTTTCTCATTCAAAAAACTTTTCCAGTCGCAAGCATGAAAACATTCTTGGAGCTTCTAGAGAGTTGAACCTGTGGATGTTCGTGTAGGGTGATGTGCTCAAGGAGGGCGTGGAAGCTCTGGGCCCCTTCCTCCATATCTTGTCCTATGCATGTCTTCATCTGTATCCTTTGCAATATCCTTTATAGTAAACCAGTAAACATAAAACAGAACAAAACAAACATTCTCTGCTCCCAGCATCAATACAAGCAACATATTCCTCCTCTTTTTCTTAAGAAGTGCCTGTTTTTTTTTTTGAGTTGGAGTCTCACTCTATCACCCAGACTGGAGTGCAGTGGCCGTTCTCGGCCACCGCAGCCTCGACCTGCTGGGCTCCAGCGATCCTTCCGCCTCAGCCTTTCAAGTAGCTAGAATTACAGGTGCGCACTACCACACCTGGCTAATTTTTTGATTTATTGTAGAGATGAGTTCTCGCCAATTTGCCCAGGTGGGTCTCGAACCTGCGGGCTCAGGCAATCCACTCACCTCAGCCTCCCAAAGCGCGGGATTACAGGCTGAGCCACCGAGCCCAGCTAGAAGTGCCTGTTTTATATTACATATTTTTCTAAATTTTTCTTGATTTAGCGCCTTGCCCAGTTTGCTCTGGACTTTTCCATTATTAAAAACCTATAAACATTGAGGCCATCATTCAACAACAAGTAAGTTTTCTAATCATGTAGTCTTAACTTAGCTAATCTTGGTGCATTTTAGACTACCTGATAGACACCAACAACTTATGAGCTCCTTCTCTTATCTCTAGGACTTCTGTTGTGATACTTCTGAGATTACTCAAAAATAATAATAATAATAAATGGCCACCACTGAGACTTGTTTTAAAGATCTGAAGATTTTCCTGGTGGTAATTTATGTTGCAGCAGAACTTGACCCAAACATATGTGAATTATTAAAAAAGATGAGTATAAAAAATAGTAAAAGCTTATCAATGGATAAACAATGTGACCATTTGCTTTTACAAAGACTCTTTAATGCTTCCGAAAAGATTCTCCATAGGAGAATTTTAAATGGAATGTGAGTTCTAAAAGTTAATTCGAACACACTACTCTTCAGGTCTAAACCCGGACAAGGAGCTCTGGATTTTAAAATTGGTTTATATAAAAATATTAAAACTTAGCTAATAGCACAGGTCTATAGTATTTTTTTTCTAGTGACAATACTCACTGACAGTATCTTAGGTAAAAAATACATAAATATTTGTATATGACATTTGTATATATAAATAAAATTATATATATAAAAGCATATATGTATATTTAATTTTTTTTGGCTTTCTTAGACTACCATACTTATAACTTATTTTGACAACAACACTAGTCAAGTGGAGAAAAAACTGTGTACAACTTCATCTGTTTATTACACTAAAATACATGGACAGTTCTCACAAGTGCTGATTTCTAAATCTAAGCCCAAATCTCAAAGAGTTATCAGATAGTGATGTATGTTGAAAGAGTATAATTAAAAGGATAAATATATTTTTCATGTCTTTAAAAAGCAGACAATTGCATCTCTTCTCCTAGCTTTCTCTTTGATGCTACTTGTTCGGCCTTCCTCTTCGAATAAATCATTTTATAACATCACTGTTGAATGGGTCCCCTCTCCTATGCTACATGGATGGTTGTGTGACCTAAGTCCCAAAACTCGTGCTTAACCTCAGAAGTCCTAATAAGGGAAGACCTAGGGCTGATAAACTACAACTTGCTCCACCCCCCACTTACTCATATAGTCTCAATAGAGAAGCAGCATGAAACACTGAAAAGAGCATAGGATTTGTTGTCTGGTAACATTATCATCCCTAGCTTAAGTGGATGACTCAAAGCCCGATTTCTCATCTCTATCTCCTTTGCTGGTTGGTTGTAAGAACTAACTAAATGAATGGATGGAAGTTACTAATCCTTACTAAACACATTCACTGAATGATGGCTCTTCCACGGTCCATTGAATAGTCTCCTG